TTCTTTCACATGCCTTGGTGGTTGGACAGAGAGACAAAGGACAAAAGAGATTCAAGGGTGACTCTCAAAGCCTGAGCAACTGGACGGATGATGATACTCTTGACTGGGATGAAAAAGAAGGGGAGGCGGGCTGGGGAACCAGCTCGGGGAAAATCAATATGGACCTGCTGAGTCCCAGAGGAGACCCCAAACAGTTATGCAAATCTGGAGCTCAGAAGAGATTAGTGTCTGGATTAGTTTAATTGATTAGATGAAGGGGGGAAGGGTTCGAGGACAAATGTGGCTGAGATGGAGTGGCACAGGCACCCATGAGGTCAAAGACCATATGGCCCTCTTGTAGATGGCTGAGTCACCCAGGGTGCTGACAAGCATTGGGGTGCAAAAGAAGAAGCACCAAGGGAGGAAGTCTTCAGTGAACGCAGGTACATGTTCAGGAAGTGAGATTAGCATCAAAGGAGCTTTCAAATGTTCTCACAGTTAAGAGTGCAGGCCAACTCCCAGAGCTGGAATCTGGCTCCTTCCTCACGCTTTCTGAGCCCTGTATCTATCAGGTCTCACGCCTTGTCTTCAGACCTCAACCCCAAGGATGTCCAGAGCTCGCCTGGTGATTCCTACTGCCTACCTGGGGACTAGGTGCCCCTGCCCGTCATATTCCTGCCCCCCCCCAACTCTGGCGGCAAGAACACTCAGGGGTCTGTTGACTTGGGGGCCAACAGATAGCCAGCCCAGGCCCCTGGGCATGTCCCTCAGGCCGGGTTTTTCTCCCGTATCACATTCTCAGTTGGACTGGTCACAGCCAGCTCGATGGCTATCGAGAGTGATAAGAATTCTTGTTCCTGCCTGGGTTGGCTGGTCAGCTTTGACACTTGAGACGATGAACATGATTTTGTAAGTGACCTCTGGGCCCTGCTGTACATGTGGTCAAACCATGGCTAACAGAAAGCACATGATGAGGGGGAGTCCATGGCCTCTGTCCTGTCTCCAGGACGCAGGCCCTGGGGATCTGGTCAGTGGTGAAGCAATTGCTACAAACAAGTTACAGGAAAACGTGTAAACAAAGCCCCTGTCCTCCTCCAGGGAGACCATGACTTATTGCCACCCCGATGTCATCTTTGCCCCACGATGTGCAGAACATGAGTGCATTCTAACCACTGCTGTAGTAGAACCTGCACTGGAGATTCTGACTCCTATAGGAACAAAGTTTCCAGTGGATTCTGATCAAAATCATGTCAAATTCTGATCTCTCTCTCTCCATCTCCCCTCACCTAATTCACAATCAGAATCAAGGATAATAGAAGCTAAAAGGCAAAGTGTTACCCATACACCATTCAACAAGGATAAAGAGTAAACAATTATTAGAAAACTTCAGCCTTGAGCTACAAAGCTTCTGAGTATTAACTGAAGGGAATGGGTGGAGCAAGGAGGGAAGAATGTCCCCCCCTTTCCCCACTTTCTCAAGTACAAAGTGTATGGGCTCTGTTCCTGAACTGGGAGGCACATGAGCAGAGCCAGGGAGGAGTAGGCCTTCTGGGAGCATCTTCCTCCCCTTTATCCATAATCGGCCCTGTGTTATGTGCATCCCAGGTGCCTCAGATTTCCCAGCACAGATGTCTCAGCGTAGACGCATGGAGGAGTCCAGCAGACCAAAGAGCCCTGTCACAGGCAAAAAGCAATGGCTCCTGGGCCATGTGCCTTCAGCCACATCTGAAGAATCAGAGAGAACAGGGGAAGGCAGATGGCGATTCAGCACAAGGGGACTGAGGTCTGGAGCCCCTCCTCCCTGACAGCCTGGGCCTCACTGGTTTGCCCTCCTCTTTACCTCCCTGCTTTTGGTGTAACCAGGGAGATGCCAGAGAATCCAAAACATCCCCCCACCTGTGTGTGTGTGTGTGCATGTGTGTGTACACGTGTGCAGTTTAATCAGTATAATTTAATTATCAGGTCATTTTATCCCAAAATGGGTTTTTACAAGATTTAAGAAATGTACTTAATATCATAGGAAAACAAGGGATAAGGAAGTGAAAACAAAGCCACATAAACCGAGGCCAGGGACTGATGCACAATTTGCAGCCCAAGAGAGCTGATGTGTGTTTAGAATCGGACCTTGAATCTCTGAGCCCTTGGTGGCCAAACCTGAATCCATTTTCACTCCATAGTCAGAAGCTAGCGTCCATCACAAATGTCCAGCTTCCCTGTGTTGTCTTCCCCCCAGGACCTGCCAGATGGATTTAGTGTGACCTTCAGCCGGCTGGCCTTACCTCCGCCATTGATTTCTGGGAACCTCAGGAGTGGAGTTGGGTCAGGGACGTCTGTGTGGTCATGACCAAGCCCTTTCCTCAGGTACTGTCTGCAAGGCGTTCTCCTGCCCTGACCCCCACCAGGTGGAATCCGCAGGGAGGGCTTCAAAGCTGCTCACCTCCACCGCAGGGCACCACCGGGCCCCTCCTCCTGCTGGTCTCCGCTGCCTCTAAATACGCAAAAGTGACTCTGGTCTATGAATTCCCCAAAACACTGGAGCTAAGCCGTGTCCTACACGGAAGGAGGGAGAAGAGGCCTTTCCCCCTGTGTCACATGTCACCCGGCACCGAGTAGGGCTCCCTGAGCCTAGGGACTCTCAGGAGAGTTCTGTGACAACGGCCATCAGCCCTTGCCCGTGGCTCCTCTCCTCCTGGGACTTAGATGAACCCAACCAGCCTCAGAGATGGACTTGTTTCTGACTCTCCCTTCCCGGGGCCCTCACCCTCTAGGCGGCACAATTACCGGGTATTGTCCCCCAATGAAAATGTCGAAAACAAACGTGACTTTAGGAGTGTTATGCAGCGGCAGACATGATCAGCATCATCTTCACATGCAAAAGGCATCGCTAACAGTGCCCTGATAAGAAAGGCTATGCCTGTGTGGACCCCTATTCTAATTGTACAATGAGTTTAGGCAAAATCTCCTGCTCTTGACTTAACCAGGTGGCTCTTAGAAGGAAGCAGCTCAGCCCTGAGAAATGGGAGAACGGACCGCACACAGAGAGGAGGGGCCTCTGGAGCTTGCTGCCTCTTCCTGCTCGCAGCACAGGATGGGGTCCCTGGGCGCAGGCCGCTTCTAGGGTTCCTGGTATGAGCCAGGTGAAAGGTGCACCGGAAGGAGATGAGAGGCTGTCGCTCTGCTGCAGCGCGAGTGGTGGAAGGAATGGCGAGGTGAGGAGGAATGCACCTTTACCCCCGAGAATGTGCACTTGGAGGGAATTCCCGACTTGCCTAAAATCAGAGCGAGGGGTGAATGGTGGTGTGTGTGTTAGTGCTGATACTGATGTTGCGGGTATAGAACCAGCTGGGAGCTGTCACAGGCTGAAGTGGGAGCTCCAAGACCCAGCTTGAACCTCCCCTCTCCTGCACAGCCTTCCCTGACCTACCACTAAATGCAGCACTAACCCCCCCCCGCCCCCCGAAGTGGACTGTGGCAGGGGCTTAAAGTAAGATTGGCATCTGCTACTGGGTGTGTTGGGGAGGGGGGCATGTTAAGGGAGGTGGAAAGGGAGAGTGGGATCAAAACTAAGGTAAGGGGACTATCTCTGACTATAGATACTGACTCCTCCCCGGCAGCCGGATAACCACAGCCCAATTGGAAAATGCCCTTAGAAGGGAGAAGTGGGTGCGGGACAGGGTCTGGGCTGTGAGTGTGTAAGGCTCCCTGAGGCAGTGTGAGGGAATGTTTCTGAGTCCGAGTGTGTGTACATGCACGTGCTGAACAGGCGGCCGGAGTTGGCAGCAGGTGGACATGGCAGCTGGAGGGGCCCAGGAGTCGCCCAAGTAGGGCTGGTCAGCAGGCGAATGGGCTCCTAAGAGGGGAGCCCAGGGCACGAGACAGATCTGGGAGTCATCAGCACGCACACCGTGGTAAAGACACAAACGGAACGGAGTGAACAGAGCGGTGGAGAAGCGGGGCTGGAACAGAGTCTGGATGAGGAACAGAGCTTCTGCCCGGCCACGAGGGAAAGGGCCCGGGAGCGACACAGGGATGAGTGAACATGTGAGGAGGCCCAGCTTTCTGCAAGGTTCAGCTTAACGATTTACCCAGAGGGAACAAGGGGCAGGACTGACTCCCGGAGAAAAGGGAGCTGCTTCAACCCCCTGCCCTGGCCACAGCGGTCTCATCAGAAGGAACGTCACTTTGGCTACATGTGCTTCCCAGTCTCAGCCCACCTCTCGCTCTCGCCCGTCACTGTAAAGACGGAATTCACATCTAGTGCTTTGGGAATCACTCATCCACACTCAGAGCCCAGTGCCAGTTATCAACATCCCCAAACCTTTCACCTTTAGATTCATAGAGAAATGTTAACAGGATGTGTGGTCTACAAAGTGCTTTGAGATCCTGGCCCGAGTTACTGCCCCAACGTGAGGGGGGTTCTCCATGGTGGTAGGAACACCTCAGGCTCTGGGCAGACAGGTGGGGCTGGATCCCGCCTCTGCCACTTTCAGCTGTGACCCAAGCAAGTTACTTCAGCCTCCCAAGCCTCGCTTTTCTTTTCTGGGAAATGGGGGGAATATTAGTACCTATTTCCTGGGGCTGTTGTGAGGATTAAATGAGATCAAGTATATAAAGTGCTTAAGCAGAGAGCCTGCCGAACAGCAAATGCTTGATAAATACTGGCTATTGTTGCTATTATTAGCACTGACTTAGTAACATGAGTAATACGTAACTGTTGTTCCTCCTTTTTGCTGAGCTCATGGTGGCCTGTTCTCTCACCAGAGTCTCAAAATTCTCTGAGGATACGCCCCAACTAGAGACTGCCATGCAGGAGACTGACGTGTGCCGGTGGGGGATGTGTGCACACGGGAGTGTGAAGGCACAGCGAGGTCTGGAATCCCTGCTCAGGACCAGTGATTGGCCTCTAATCCCCTAAGCGTCCAGTTTGGCTCAAACACTGACTAAGCCCTTAAATGACAGCAAATGTAAGGACAGCCTGAGGACTGAGTGGAGATGTTTTACAGGAGAAAAAAAATCACAAATTTGGACCCTTAGCATTTGTAATTCGCTGCCAAATTACCTGGATTATATCAAGATAACTTCCCTGGGTATACACCAAGCTTAAAAACTGGGAATGTTTCTTTCTACCAAACATCTGATAATCTTGGGAGATTTAAATACACATTTCTCTTTTGTTGTGGGGGGAGTTATCTTCTACGACGCTTTCCCTCCTGTATGGGTTCTCCGGTGGGCACTGAAGTGGGAGCTATTGTTGAAGTCTTTGCCACACTCCAAGCACTTGTAGGGTTTTTCCCCAGTGTGGATTCTCTGGTGAATAATAAGACTGGAGCTCTGGTTAAAGCATTTCCCACACTCTCTGCACTTATAAGGCTTCTCTCCCGTGTGAATCCTCTGGTGAGTAATGAGATTAGAACGGTCACGGAAGAATTTTCCACACTCGAGGCATTTGTAGGGCTTCTCTCCTGTGTGCACTCTCTGATGTGTGATGAGCTTGGAGCGTTCACTGAAGCACTTCTCACAGTCCATGCACTTATATGGCTTCTCCCCAGTGTGGGTTCTCTGGTGGTTAGCCAAGGTGGAGCTCTTACTGAAGCTTTTCCCACATTCAGCACATTCATATGGTTTCTCTCCTGTATGGATTCTTTGGTGACTAATGAGGGCAGAGCTCTTGGAGAAGGTTCTTCCACACTCAGAACACCGATAAAGTTTCTCCCCTGAGTTGGTGCTGTACGGTCCAGGAGAATCTAAGTTCCTACTGGCACTTTGAGGTTGTTCAGGAGTTGTCTCCTCTGTCAAGTTCCTCCAGTGAGCACTAAAGGAGGGGCTTTGGCCAAAGTTTTCCCCGGGCTCACTACAATAGTCAGGATTTCCTCCCAAGTGGATTCTCTGATGTTTCAGAAGGTTGGAGCTCTGGTTGAAGCTTTTCCAACATGCCCCACATTTATAGGGCTTTACCCCTGTGTGAATTCTCTGGTGGGTGACAAGATTGGAGTGATCACTAAAGCTTTTCCCACATTCGAAGCATTTGTAGGGCTTCTCTCCAGTGTGAATTCTCTGGTGGGTATTGAGGTTGGAGCGGTCACTAAAGCTTTTCCCACATTTGAGGCATTTGTAGGGCTTCTCACCTGTGTGTGTCTGCTGGCGAGCGATGAAGTGGGAGGTCCGACTGAAGCTTTTCACATATGTGTCACACTTGTAGGATTTCTCTGCAAGGTACAGGCCTTGATGGTCAATAAGTTTTTCTAAGTCTTCTTCAGAAGAACATTCTTCCCACCGTTCCTGTGGTGGATTTCCTGCCTGCTCTTCATCTTCATTTTCATGTTCACTGTCTTCCTCCCAATCGTGAGGGTGGCAAACAACTTCTGGAGGACATTTTGATAACACTCCAGGCAAATCCTCAAAAATATCCTGCTCTGAACTCTGGCCTTCATCCTCATGACTCATCTCAAAACCTGAAAAAATGGGTAGAAATGTGGTTTTCCATTCATTAGTTGGTGTCTATTTACATATCTATATCCTGTGTCTTATGAATTTGGCTAACATGAAACTGGTCAAGTTTGGGTGCATACATGCATTTGTGACCTGCAAAGCTGAGGGAAGGAGTCTGAGACCTGGTGACCCCACCAAGGGAGCCATGAGCCCCAACCAAACAGCCAGCCAGTCTCCCTGGCCAATTCCTTTATTCCACTATTTGATAATGAACACCTTCTTCTAGTAAAATCAGTATGTCCTATGTCATATGAGATTGAATAAACTCCGTAAGTGCTCAACCAAATCCCAATAAAATCTAGACCTGACTGCTTATCTCATTTAGGGGGTTACACTAAACTAGACATAATCTGAGAAAAGCACAAATCCTTCTACTCAATTCCATTGTTTTAGTCCAGAGACAAGATAAGAAGCCTGGCTCCCTTACTCTATCTGCATGCTGGCAGATTTTGTGGGCATCCAATTATGCCATGCTTACCAGTGTGCGGGGTTTTAGGACATGGGGTTGGAGGTTTGATGACATTTTCATCTGCCATCTCATCCCAGGCCTCCTGGTCGTCAGCCTCTGTACTGCTCCACCCAGACGTAGGAAGACCTGCTACCTCTCTGATGTTCCCCATGGCTCTGACTGCCGTCCGTGCCCTCACCAGTGAGTCCAGCTCCTCATAGAAGGGGCATGTCCCTGGTGGGTGGCTGCTCTTGGCTTTCCGGTAGCTTCGAAGGAGGTTCTTAAATCTGTAGCGACACTGCTCCAGTGTCCGCAGGAAGCCCTGTGCACATAGCCGCTCTGCGATGGCCCGGTACACCTGACTGTTCTGGTGACAGGTGCGAAGCTTTTCAGAGAATGGGGACTCACTGAGAATGGTCAGGAAGGCCTTGGTCTCCTCATAGCCCCAGTGCACACCTGCTGTCAGGAGTGAAGAGGTCAGAATTGTGAGATTTAATGAGACTTGCCTAGGTTATCAGGGATCAGGGTCACCTGCCCCTCAGAAATTGTCCAGGTACCTGGGCACCAACCATACCCTTGCCTCTCAGGGCATTTCCAAAGCTTCCCACCCCAACCCCTTCTAAGAGATTTATTAACACCTACGAGTCTTGGCTATAGGGAAGGACTTAGGTGGCCATATTATACCAGGTGACCCCACCCCCTGGCTTCAGCTGATTGGTTCAGGGAAAGGCCTGTAATTGGGATACAAGAGACTCTCTCTATAACCATTCAATACATGTCTTCTATTTACTTTCATGAATTTTCCTTTTAAAAAATATGGAAACTGAGAATCCTTAGAAGGAAAAGGAAGTGGTCTGTTCTCAGTTCCTCTGCAGGTACATGATGCAGCCAGGGAGGAACACCACATACAAGGAGGCTAGAGTCCTGGGCTCTAACCCTGACTCTGCCCCTGCCTCGCTTAGATCCTGAGATAAGACACTTCATCTCTTAGGCTTCAGTGCTCCCACTTTTTAAAAAATATGTTTTTATTGACTTTAGAGAGAGAGGAAGAGAGAGGGCTAGAGAGATAGAAACACTGATGAGAGAGAAACAACATCGATCGGCTGCCTCCTGCATGCCCCCTACTAGGGATCAAGCCCGCAACCTGGGCATGTGTCCTGACTGGGAATGGAACCGGTGACCTCTTGGTTCATGGGTCAATGCTCAACCACTGAGCCACATCGGCTGGGCGTGTTCCCACTTTTACAGTGACTTGGCTATTTCCCAAACACTGATTACTCAACTATATACTGTCTTGATTTCTGCTCTATCTGTTAAATATTTCACTCAATATCTTTATCTAAATTTACTGTCTGTGAAATCATAGTTGATGTGTTCATACACATTAAAATTAAAAGTTCACTCGTGCAACTTATGATCATCCCCATACACACTTTGGGAAATACTGAGTTTGCTCTTTGAAGTCCCTCAGGACTGTCTCTATAGCTAAGAAAACTTGTACAATGAGATTTGGTCACAGGAGAAGACAGTGGGAGTCTGAGGATGACTGAAGGAACTTAGTGCCTCATTCCAGTAGCATCAATCCAGACTTCCGTGCCCTGAGCTTGGGGAGCAGAGGTTTGGCTAGTAGGAGGGTTGGATACTGGATCCAATTAAATGCCTGTGTTCTTACCAATACGGCTCTGGAATAGAGCCGGACCCCTTGCAATCCTGGGCCCCTGGACGGACTCGCCAGTGGCCAGGTCATCACCATTACAGTCTTCTGCCGTTTCCTCTGGCTCCCAGTTCCCATCCTCTTGTTCCTCCATCTCTGCATCACTGTCCCCCAGCCTGGGGAGGGCCACAGCCACTCCTGGGCCGTCTGTGGCTCTGATGGCTGTCCGAGCCCTCACCAGGGCCTCCAGCTCCTCGTAGAAGGGACAGGTCCCCGGTGGGTGGCTGCTCTTGGCTTTCCGGTAGTTCCGTAGGAGGTTTTTGACCCTGTAGCGACACTGCTCCAGTGTCCGCAGGAAGCCTCGTGCCCTCAGCCGCTCTGCGATGGCCCGATACACCTGTCGGTTCTGGTGACAAGTCCGGAGCTTTTCAGAGAAAGGAGACTCACTCAAAATTGCCAGGAAGGTCTTGGTCTCCTCATAGCCCCAGTGCACGCCCGACACCTTCATATCCTCCGCGTCCCATTGGTACTGTTCTTCCCACGCCTGAGAGTCCCTCCAGACCAGGGCTGGGGCTGGTTTTATTTGCTCATTATCCAGGCTGTAATCGGCAGTGCGCCTTTTTCCGGAATTTATACGACTCGGACCCCAGAATTCTGGTCCTTGCTCTTGCTGGGTGATGATATTTGGTTTTGAAACTAGAACTCCTACATAAAAAGAAATGACAGAAATGATTTACTGAGCAGAGTGCTTGTCCAACATACTTCCCTACGAGAGGCTAATGAGAACTTCCCAGGCTGAGCCCAACACATGTCTGGGGGGTTAGAGAGGGAAGTAGAGGTAACAGGATCACTTCACCAGAAATGGTCATTGACCTGTTAGCTTTGTTCATTTGCTCTCTTTGTTGTAATGAAACAGATCACACAAAAGTAACTGTCATTGGTCCTCAAATGGGCATGTGATTTAAACTGGCCCAATCAGAATGAACCCGATGGTGGGAGGGCAGGTCTCTCACTCTGTCTCCCTCCGTGTGTGTGTGTGTGTGTGTGTGTGTGTGTGTGTGTGTCTGTCTTACTAGGAAATATGTGGCCTCAATTGTCATTGGCATCCATCTCTTGACTCTGACACACAATAGCTTTCATGTGAAGCTGAGACTGAGGGTGCAGAGCAGAGGTGATGGTGCTGAGCCCTCTGTACTGTGGTGGGAGCATGCCCTCCTCTGGACTTCCAATTATGTGAGAAAATAAATGTCCTTACTTTTTATAACACTTAGCTAAAGGACTGCTGTTCCAACCACTCCCAACCCAACAAATAGAAAGCCTTTAATTAAATAAGTATTTGAACAAAACTAGAAATAGTTTAAAACTAAAAGAGGCCTAAGGATTATCTAGCCTTTAATTAAATAAGTATTTGAACAAAACTAGAAATAGTTTAAAACTAAAAGAGGCCTAAGGATTATCTAGCTCAGCGTTTCCCAGTTTGTCCCTCTGAGCGTTATTTCCACCAGACACCACGTGTAAAGGGGGTCACACTGTCGAGCGAGCAGCCAACAAGCTTCTGGTGCCTCACCTTATGGACAGGAGTGAGTCAGACCTGTCACTGTCCCTTCTGCTCTTCCCTCGCGTGTCTAATCCCAACGGGAAGCGGTTCGTTACTATTTGGCTTCCCGTGCAGATGTGGCTACAGAGAAAGGCGTCTGCGCCGATCACAGAGGCTTCCAGCCTCCTGAGCCCTGTGAGATGTACTCCTCACTGTGGCTGAGTGCCTCAGCCTCCCAGGCTTGGTTCAGTCCGCCCCTGAGTGCTGGGTCCTGTTTGATGCTGAAAAGCCTGGATTTCTGTGACAGCAGGCAGGGCCCAGCCCTGCACTGTGGTGAATTTACTGGGGAAAAGAAGGGAAGGAGCCCTGAGAGGGGAGGCTCCTGGAAGCCAACCTGCCAGCCTCCATCCCGGCCGACTCCACTCCCCACGCTCCACCCCTGCCACCACAGTGTTGGCTACGAGAAGCTTGTCTTCTTCCTCTGTCTGCAATCCACTGACTTCACAGAAGCACGAGACTTAGGGAGTGACGGAACGCTCTGGGAACCGAGGGTTTGGGGACCCAGCACCTTCTTCCGAGGGCACTAGTTCCTTACCCAGGGACACGCCGTTCCCACGGTTGTCTCCGGGGGCCTCCTTGCGAAACTCCTTCTCGGCACGTCTTCCAGGGCCCCGGGCTTCCTGAGAGGTGGACAAAAAGACCTCAGATGTCACTGACCCTGGAAAACAGCCTAGGAAACCCTGTGGGCCCCAGAAAAGGTCATGGAAGCACAGGGATACGGGGTTAGTCTAGCATCAGCAAGGAGAAGCCCAGCGACAGGGGGCAAGCAGCAAGAGCTGACACCCAGGCCTTGTGGCCTTTTGCTGAGGGGAGGCCATAGAGAAGAAGCGGAGCAAAGGGGCAGTAATGACAGGAAGGGGAGAACAGAGAGCAGCTTACCTGGGACTCAGCTGTCACCGCCCAATCTCCAACGCTCCCCATCTTTGGGAGAGTAGGGACTCGGGGAGTGAGGACAGCTGAGAAGAAGAAAGAGTCTCTGAAACCCAAGCTCTGGTCTCCACAGAACCACCCGCTTGGGTCCAGCTTTCCAAAGCCGTGCTCGGGTCCAGCTGGGACTCTCCCCAGTCAGTGCAAGTCTCCCCTTTCCTTCCCTCCGAGAGAGCCTGGCTCCTAAGCTGCCTTGAGTGAGGTGCCTTGTGGGAGATGCCAGCCCAGAACTCCGAGGGAGATGCCAGCCCAGAACTCCGAGGGTCACCACCTCCCCCGCCCCAGCCTGAAGCTGCTGTGACTCGGCTCTGGAGGGGACGAGCCATCACTGGGAACTTCACCTTCTTTTGCGATGCTTACGGACTTGCCTTCCTTCTCAGTGAGTCCATCAGGCACTGTTCTACCCCTTGCCTGGAATTCATACACCCTTCCTCACCACCCCTCACCCCTCTCCCTTGACGTTCCTTGAGTTTGGTACTCACCACTCTCCTTCAAGGCCTGGGGCGCCATCTTGGAGTCGAGATGCTTGGGAAGCTCCGGGCCCGGATTCCTCACCCACTGCCTCTGGGGCGGTCTCTCGGGCCAGTGCTGGGCTGACTGCCGCTGAAAGCTCTGAGATTCCCGCGGTGCCTTCAAGGACCGGGTCTCTTCTCCACACAGCTCCAGTTCCTACACACAGATGGGCAACGTTCCCAATTGTCAGCCCCATAAGACCAGTCTTGGTAGGGCAGAAAGTGTTCTTTAGGGGACAGTGGTGATCTAGGGATTAACAGGCCCTTTTTAAGACCCGAAGACGGCTCAAGTATGACAACAAGCCCTAAGGCTGCTAACTGCTGAGACTATGAGTTAAATCCACAATATTTTCCTTTCAATGTAGTAAATTTGGGCAAGTTACTTACCCGAGTCTCTGTCCACCCATTTGAAAAATGGTGATGGTAACAGTACCTGCCTTATTGGGGTGCAGGGTGGACTAGATAAGCAACATATACAGAAGCCCTAGAACAGTGTCTGGCACACGGGGAGTGTTCAATAAATGTCAGTCACTATTTCATGTGAGCCTCATGCCTCAGAGGTGTTTTCATTCCTAGGTTCCTGATGAGGCGTCTGAGGGGGTAGAACGATGACCCTGGGACCTAAGGACCTGGGTTCAGGCTGTGGTTCACAGGGACGAGCTTTCTGAACCACCTGACTTTTAGGGGGACTTGGTTGAATCTATAAATTACAGGGACAATAATGCTATTTCTTGTACTTACATTACTGCTATCAGCATCCAAAGCAATCGCATATGTGAAAAGACTCTATTAAGTATAAAACCATACAAATTCTGTGAACACGGCCCGGGGAGGGTTCAGAGCAGTGGCTGTGAATGCTGGCTTTAGAGTCAGACTGTCTCAGTTCACACCCTGCCTCTACCACGCGGCCAATTACCGTCTTTGCTCTGCCTCAGTTTCCACACTGGCAAAACTAGGATAATAGGACCTATCTCGTTAAATTGTTGACAGGATTAAATGAGCTAATACATGGAAAGCACTTAGAACAGTGGTTCTCAACTTTCCTAATGCGGCGACCCTTTAATAGTTCCTCATGTTGTGGTGACCCCCAATTTCATTGTTACAAATTGAACATAATTAAAGCATAGTGATTAATCACAAAAACAATATGTAATTATATATGTGTTTTCCGATGGTCTTAGGCGACCCCAAGGGGTCGCGACCCACAGGTTGAGAACCGCTGACTTAGAACATTCCTGGTACACGGTCATGCTCAATAGATGTCAGCTGCTCCATAACAATAATAATTATTATTTTGGAAATTACTAAGCCAGTCACAGCCCGCTGCCTGCCTGATCACTTCAGGGAGGCCGGCTATTTGCCTCACCCGTTGCCCTGCAGCCCGAGCCTCTCGGTGCCAATCCTCCACCAGGGCCACCGCCTCCTCGCCGCTCTCAGGGTGGCGCGCCTGCACCCAGGCCTGGACCTCCCTGGGTAAGATAGTCAGGAACTGCTCCAGCACCAGCAGCTCCAGGATCTGCTCTTTGAGGCGGACCTCTGGCCTCAGCCAGCGACAGCAGAGCGCCCAGAGCTGGCTGAAGGCCTCGTGCGGTCCCGATGCGTCCCTGTACTGGAACTGCCTGAAGCGCTGGCGGGAGGCCTCTGGGCCGGGGCCAGGGTCATGGTCCTTCTCCTGAGGCCTGGACTCTGATCTCCACGCGTCCTCCTCCAGTTTCACAATTAGGAGTTCTTCAAGCTCTGGTGGGGGAGACGCCCGGGCCTGGGCCTCCAGGGCTGCAGCCATGCTCTGTCCTGGACGCCTCACTTCAGCTGGGCTGTCCTCATCCGCCGTCTTCCTGCATCTACGGCGTGTCCTTCACGGGGCTCCTGGGAGAGGAAATGCTTTCCAAGGCTCTGAAGGCAGAAAGATAAAGGACAGTGAGCAGGGGACCCAGGAGCCTCACCTTCCCCCTTCCTCACACCCACCACTGCCACTGGATGGGGTGGAGTGCCGAGCGATGCCCCTGTGCCATAAGCAGGAAGTTGGACCACAATCTGGCACCAGCAGCCAACACAACAAAGGAAGACAGCACAGTGTTAAACCCAAACGACACGCCAAACGCCTTAGCCTGGCATCAAAGCCTCTGTGATCTGGTCCCGGCATAGCCTTCCCCCTCTACACAGACCTTCCCTCGCGTTGGGATAAACATCACCCCCTCCAGAAGGCCTTTCTCCCGGGCCTTCAAGCTTTAGTCTTCCCCTAAAGGTGCTCCCCTTGCAAAGTCCCTCTCTCACTCTGTACTTGTTTGTCGTTTCTCACCATCTCTGTGACTCCCCACACTGCAGCCAGGACCGGTCTCAAGACCCCCAAGTCCAACCACCTGTAAGACATTTCCACTTGGCTGTCTCTTAGGCACCTCAAACTCAATGGGTCAAAAACTGAACTCATCATTTTCTCCTGCAGGTCTGTCTCTCTTCTGGAGCTCTCCATCCAAAAAGGCACCAGCCCTATCTGGTTTGGCTCAGTGGATAGAGCAGCAGCCCACAGACTGAAGGGTCCCAGGTTCAATTCTGGTCAAGGGCACATCCCTCAGTTGTAGGCTCAACCCCCAATCCTGGTCAGGGCGCATGCAGAAGGCAACCGATTGATGTGTCTCTCTCACATCAATGTTTCTCTCTCTGTCTCTCCCCCTCCCTTCCCTAAAAATCAAGGGGAAATATCCTCTGCTGAGGATTAACAACAAAAAGACACAACTTCCATCAACTTACCTATACCAGGAACCTGATCATCACCTTTCTCCAAGATCCCCCACATCCAACTCATCAACAGACTGTGTCCACTTGGTCTTCTAACCATCTACATCCCCAAGGCCACCACCTTTGTCCAAAGAAATCATCACATTTATCACTTGACCAGCATTTTATCTCATGTCCCTGCCTTCACTCCTCTCACCCTTGACCCATTCTTTGCACAACCAGATAGATCAAACTCTGACCATGTCGCTTCCCTCCTAAACACCCTGCAGTGACCTACCTCTCATTTCCCTCAGGATCAAATACAAACCTTGCCCAAACCTCCTTTCCTCACCGTGCTCCCACCAGTCATGGTGGCTTCAGCTTGCAGCTCCGACATCGTGCTGCCCTCTGCACCCTCCCACGTGTTGGGGTCTCCTTTGGGAACAGTCTCTTCCCTTTCCTCACCTACTTAGGGCTCAGCTTAAATTGTCCTTTCCCAAGATTTAGTCCTCAGCCACAAGCTTCCGCGCCACCTCATGTTTCCTGTATCGTTACCCAGATCAGACTTTCTAATTATCTACCCACTAGATCACAGGCTTCCAGAGGGACCTATCACAGCTCAGCACACACAGGAAGCACTCCATACACAGTGAATGGCCAACTAATGATGGGGATGTGCCATGAAGCAAGGATTACGTTAAGCCCTTTCTGTGCAAACTAGATAAAGAAATGGCCTTCCTCTTGCCAGAAGGAATTCTCTTCTCTTTATTCCATCACTGTGACCCTTGCCACTGTCTAGGTTGTATCAGAGGGGCGTGTGTACATGTGTGTCCCCAGAGAGATTACAGCCACACCGGTGGCAGGGAATATAGCTTAGTTCTCTTTTTTGTCACACTCTTAACTCCCCCACACCCACAATAAGCATGATGCACTAAACAGGAGGCGCTCAGCAAACGCTTTCGGAGTGAACGTCTGAAGCTGCTGCTTTTACACAATGAAGACTCTGACCACACTCAGGCTGGGTTCTCTGGGAAAATGAGCCCTTTGTGTCGTTCCCAACAAATCTAGATGACATCAAAAATGCCACTCAGAGGAGGCTACCAGTCGCTTCCACGTGGGAACGACATGGCTGAATTGAGAACGGAGGGAGGGTGGTATTTTGATTTTAGGTCATCTGACTGGACTGTCTAGAAATAAGGCAAGGTGTGCCCTACAGACCGCCACATAGTTAGGGAGAGGCTAGGAGCACAACTTCCTGCCCGTCCTTCAGCTATCAGCTCAATGTCACCTTCTCTGTTAAGACTTCCTTGACACGCTATCATGCCCTGCCCCCATCCCTGCTCTCCAAGAATCGCCTTCCCACTCTTGTGTTCCCTAAGCAATTGGCACAAACCTCTAATATATGTTATCCTGCGTTATTGTAGTTACTTGCTCTTGGATCTGACAGCTCCCCATTCCGTTGCACTAGGGCTAGTACTGTATCTTACTCATTTCTGTATCCACAGTGCCCAACCCAGTGTCTTCCAATGGCCCAACCCAGCAGGGCCACTGGAAGTTTCGTTGACTTTTATTAAAACAGTTAAGCTGGTACATTAAAAACCTAATGGGTTATGGAAGATCGATAATTTATAGCAGGCTAAAGAATTAACCTTTCATGATTTTTTTTAAAACCACAGCCTTAATCATGCCCTAGTCCAAACACATTTGTGTCTCTCTCAAACGAGGACTGATTCACCAGTCATCTACAGAATCCCACCGTGTCCCCTGCACTGTACTGGGAGCTAGAGAACCAACAGGAACTAGGATAAACAATCTCTACCCTCACAAAAGTTAGTCTACTAAGAGACAATCGCTGAGCAAAGTGTGTGCTCCTGCACAGAAGCAACACAACAAAACAGGCAGTTAGCTGCCCCCCAGGCCCAAAGCCCAGAGTCTCAGGTAACAGGTCTTTTCTTCTGGGAAGACTTGCAAGTCCCAAAGGTTATTTTTAAATACAAACCTGCAGATTTTCTGCTGCTCTCTGACATACAAATAGCAGCCTATCCAGAGGGAGGTCAACACAGCCAACAGCCGAGTGACTTCACACAGATGACAGGGAAGACATGGACAAGGGCACCCCTCAGCCCTGAGACTACCAGGAACCCCTAGGTTTTCTCTCGAATCAGCAACCTCAGAGTGTGCTCATGGTGCCAGGCCCGGGCTGAGTGCTCGACATTCATCATCTCACTGAATCTTCCAGGCAAGCCAGTGAAGTGCCATTAGTGCTGAGCTGCCTGACACTGATCTGTAACGTACACATATGAAACTCCATACAAACAAGGAAGGACAGACATGATTTAAATAGTGCACCAGTTCCATCCACTATGTGTCTGTTCCAGAGAGAGCATGTGGTGATGACACCCGGGACTCTGCTGGTCCCAGGTTGGTCTCAGTTCCCTTGGGCCTCTCTTCTACTGCGTGTGAGCAGTGTCTTGCTTCAGCATGGTCCCTAGACACAGGCCAACTCTTCCACCTCGTGTTCAGGAAAACCCAGCTGTGCCGGGCAGCTTACTGAGAGCGTGTTGGTTTCTAATGGCTCCTTGCCAGAGAGCTGACTGTGGTTTTGGCTAAATATGATTATCACTTTCCATGCTGCCTGTAGAATACCATTATCCTGTGAGGTATGAATCCACTATATCTTCAGTCTATACACAGGGAGGGAACTGAGTTTCTATAAAAAAGATGCACTTAGGTTACACAACTAGCAAGTGGTAGAGTTGGACTCTAAGCCAGTGATGGCGAACCTATGACACGCGTGTCAGAGGTGACACACGAACTCATTTTTTTGGTTGATTTTTCTTTGTTAAATGGCATTTAAATATATAAAATAAATATCAAAAATATAAGTCTTGGTTTTACTATGGTTGCAAATATCAAAAAATGTCTATATGTGACACAGCACCAGAGTTAAGTTAGGGTTTTTCAAAATGCTGACACGCCGAGCTCAAAAGGTTCGCCATCACTGCTCTAAGCCCAGCTTCGTTTCCTCCAGTCATTTCTTCAGCCACAGCACACAGCCTGCTCTAGGTCTGCCAGGCATCCCAAGTCCTGAGAAGATGGTATGGAGGAGAGTGGGGGGAACACTGAGGCAGGAGTGAGCAAGTCGGGGTGCTGGTTCCACTCCTGCCATTTATCAGCCGTGTGACTTGGGACAGGTCAAGTGGCCTCTGCAGCCCCTCTAGGTTGCAGCTTACAGCCTGACCCTACTCAGTTACGCCGGGTTCCCCCGTTAGTACGATGGGAGTAGAGCAAAGGGACAAGGAGACGAAAATCAGCGGCCACAAATGTAAGTGGCTAGAGGCTTGGCAGTGTCAATGAGAATATGAGTGGAGTGGGGGCTGTGGCCACTACAGAGCACCAACGGGCCATGGCCCAGTGTCCACAGGCCTTCTAATTCTTCTAAGAGAAGTCAGAATTCTAGATTTTTACATGTTGGCCACCTACTCACAATTGTTTCAAACACCCTGAGGGTTAAATAGAGCGTGACCATAGGCTTCATTCAGCATGGGCTGTCACTTTGCCACCTTTTAGCTGAGTGATCTCAAAGGTTCCTTCCAATCTCCTGGAAAACCTAGAAAGAGTACAGATTCCCCTAAGTAATGAGGGGTAGGTGCTGGCTGCTGTCGAAATCAAGATCTCCTACAAACCCAGGGGAGCGGGGAGGCATCCTGGCTCCTGGGGCAGTGAGTATGGATGTGGACATGAAGAACCCGCCCAGAAAGCAGTGGGATGGGAAAGATTGGCCCCAGTCCCATGGGAAAGCCAAGGCTGGTCTGTGACCTCCAAAGAGAAAAAAACTGGGAGTTCCCGAAAGCTTTCTAGCTCATTTGGCTGATGGTCCAAGCTATTGCTTAAGCAGCCTGACCTTACACTTCAGGGCATAAAGCAGAGAAAGCAGGCAGATAGGATTCATTTAAAGCACCAACGTCATTCAACTGTGTTAAGGACTCTGAATCCCATGTGAATACGTGCTGTGGCCATTAGCTATGTCTGCCAGGCACAGGAAGGGGAATCGGCACACATCCCATGTATTTGCCACCCCTGGCTTAAACCCCCATCAGCTTCCAGCAAAAACAGCCATAATAGGAAGAAGACTAAAACTCATGCCCCTGGAAATCCACCGGAAGTAGCACCTTTCAGCCTGAGATAGCAAAGCTCACCCTGGATGGTCTTTATTCGCACATTCACCAAGTATTTATTAGGCAGTGGGAAACAGGGGTGACTCAGAAACTGTTCCCGTCCTGGAGATGCTTACAGTCTAGTGGAAGAGAGAAAAGGAATCACAGATGATGATGATGATGATGATGATGATGATCAAATGTGGAAAGTGCAGTAAAGAGTTCTTAGGGAGCCGGGGGGTTGGGGGTGGGGCGGGGGGGGGGACTTTAACTGCTTAAGGCAATTGAACAAAGTAACATCTGAGTTGGTTCCTGAAGAAAGAATCGTTCTCTTGGCAGAGAAGGGGAGGGGAGGGAGTGTGTCAGATAGAACAGCATGTACAAAGGTGGGAAACCAAACAGCCTCCCCCCAAAATGGGGGATAGCTTGGTAGCCCTGGAGTGTGGGGCATGAAAAGACTAGGCTGCAAAGTCGTTTAGGAAGGACCCTGAGTATCGGGCTGCAGTGTTTGGACTTAATTCTATCCGTGATGAGTGCCAATGGAGGCTTTTAAAGCAGAAGGCATAATCAGATTTGGGGGTTAAACAGGTCACAATAGCTACATTGCGTTTGTCCAGGCTGAGAGGTGAAGGATGGGGGGCGGGGGGCTTCAGCCAAAACCCGACAAGGAAAGGGCAGATTCCAGACACATGAAGGAAACGGAAGGATCTGAGGATCCCTGGAGTGGAAGAAAGCAAGAGAACCCGGACGGCACCTGGGCACCTGGAGGACCGTGCCATTCCGTCCATCGGGCATGAGGAAAGAAGTGCCGGTGTGGGACAGAACACAATAGCTGGTCCCGCCCACCGGGCTCCAGAAGTCACAACCATTAGACAAAGTGTCTGCTCCAGCTGGGCAGGTAGGGGCTGGTACGTTATTTTCAAGGTTGGGCTGCAAGCTCAGGCCCTCTTTTCTCCACTTCTTGCCTGGGCCCCCGACCCCCCTCTCCTGCCCTCTGTGGTCTCCTGGCCCCTCTAGGCTCTCCCATCTCCAGAACCGCTCTCGGTGTCCTCACCCACAGCCCTGAGCCCGTCCTCACTCCCAGAGCCCTCTAGCTCCCTCCTCATCCCCAACCCCTCGATGACCCTTCCCACCTCCGGACGCTTCATCCTCTGACCGCCCCTCACCCCACCACCCACACATAAAAGCTTCTTTCTCCGCTCACACCGCCCCCGGCCCCTGTGACACCATCCTCCTAAGTCTCCAGCCCAGAGCCTAAGTCTCCGATGCCCCCGCCCCGCCACCCGGACTCACCCACCGAGACACCCACTTCACAACGGGGCGGAAGTGCTCCAGGGTTCGCGCAGGGAATGCTGGGACGCGGAGTCCGACCGGCGCCACCCCGGGAATGGAGCGTCTGAGACTACAACTCCCAGAAGAAAGCGCGCGAAAGCCGGTAGGCGGCCTCTTCCGTTTACTGCCATGAAGATGCCGTCAGCCAATAGATGTGTCACCTTCTCCCGGTCCCCGGCACCGGAACAAATCAGAATAGGTTCTAGGGTGAGGGCGGGACCTGCTGCAATCCCGGTCCTTTCCACAGGCTCGGAAACGGCACCGCCCAGTAGGCGGGGACTCAAGCTGAAGGGGCGGGGCCTGTTTAAGGGAGAAGCGAGAGCCCCAGGCTGAGAGAGATCGAAGCAGAAACATTAAGAAATAAGGAGGGTGTGGCTAGAGATGGCCAGGCTGGTGGGCAGAAGAGAGTTGGACAATTGTAGGTGTAATTTACAGCTCACCGTTAAAATGCGTGACTTTGAATCAATTGTGAACCTGGCTTTATTCAAACCCATAAAACCAGGATAATAATAGCATCTGAGTCTACAAGTTTTTGTGAGGTTTCAACAAATAATACGTTCAAAATGATTCATTCAGGGCCTGGAGTCTAAAAATACACAGCGAATGTCACCTATTGTTATGAAAATCCGTTAGTGTAGAGCGTGGCAGGTGTTGTGAAGATTAAATGAGATAATTCAGGCAGAGCATGGACGCTGGAGTCAAGCTACTTGTGTCTGAAACTTCCTATTTTCAAATGCAGGATGGAGGCCTTGCCACTCACTACTTGTGAAACGTTGAGCAAATTGTTTCACCTCTTCATGCTTCAGTTTCCTCGTCTGTAAAATGGGAATTAGAATAATGGCATCTACCTGATAGGGTTTGTGAGAAATAAGTGGAGAAAAATTTGTAAAGAGCCTGGCACATGGCTAGCAGAAGGAGTTTAATAATTATATTAGCTATTCTTATTTTTACTAATGGTTATGAGAAGTTGGGGGAATTGACAATGCCTAGCATATGGCCAAGTGCTCAATACATGTTAAAATTTGGGGAATTCTGTATCTTAGTTTTAAAGACCTAGTTCAAAATCCTTCTCTATGAAACAAGTTCCAAATGATTGATAGTACTCAGTGGTTTTACACGGTGAAAGGAGTAGTGACCTATCGGCACTCCTTACTATTGAAGTCTTCACAGCCCTGTGAGGTGGGTATTACTACCCCATTTACAAGGAGGAAATGGGGGCTTGGACCTACTCAAGATCATATAGCCAGTCAATGCCAGGCATGGGATTTGAGGTGGGGCGTGTGACTCTGACGGTTCCTTCTCAGCCCCACACTGCATCCGGGAAAGATGGAGGGATGGAGTGAGTGGGGAGAGAGACAGGTCTTCAGTGTGAGGTGCTGGGAGGGCTGGAGCCATTTGAGAGGGTGTCGAGACCTGAAGTTGGAAAGGCAGCTTTGCAGGGTCAGGTAAGGACATTCATTTCAGGATCATGTATCCTGCAGAGGAGGAGTGGAGGTGAGAATACACAGAGCGAAAGACACCACTAGACCACTAGAGGGCACCCCTCACCCTAAATCCAGCCCAGAGCTGTTCTACGGTTTCCTTTGCCTTTGTCTGTAAAGCCTGGCATTGTACAGAGGAGGAAAATAAAAGCCCCCAGAGGCCAAGTTCCCTGGCCCAGTGTCATACAGAATTAAACCACAGAGCCTGAATCAGACCGCAGTTCTCGGCTTCAGCATCCATCAAGGTGGTTTCCTGTTCACAGTTGTCTGTTGAGACTCTTTGAGCTGGGCCCGCACTAGGCTCTGAGGATGCAGAGACGGATCACACATGGTCCCTGCCTCCAGGATTTGATCTCCAAACTCTCCTGGCCAAGTGTTCTATTAGTAAGTTAGTAATGTTTCCTACTAGTAAGACAGTTTTTAGTACACACTCCCAACGTGTGTGTTTTGTTTTGTTTTGTTTTTTTAATCCTCATCGGAGGATATTTTCCCACTGATTTTTAGAGAGAGTGGAAGAGAGAGGGAAAGACAAAGAGAAACATTGATGAGAGAGAAACACATCAACTGGTTGCCTCCTGCACAAACCCCAACCAGGGCCGGGGCCGGGGAGGAGCCTGCAACCAAAGTACGTGCCCTTGACCGGAATCGAACCTGGGACCCTTTGGTTCACAGATGGACACTCTATCCACTAAGCCAAACCAGCTAGGGCCCAAAATATGTGCACTTACTTATAAATTATATGCATGTAGTACATATATAATTGCATGACAAGCTAACTTTTATTGAACATTTACAATACATTATTAGGTCCTGCTTTCTGTGCTTTACACATATTAGCGCATTTAATCCTTGGAAAGCCCTTTGAGGGAAGGTGTAATACTATCCCATACTACAGAAGAGGAAACTGAGGTGCAGAGGTTAAGTAGCATAACAAAGCCATAAGACTAAAAAGTAGGCAGACTAGCTTCAGAATAAAGTGATATATGAAAAAAATACCAATAGAAGTTTTAAAAGTTCCTTCCTAAGCCCCAGTGGCTCATCTTGTGCACCACCACCCCCCCCCTTGGAGACCACTGCTCTGGGGGCTCCCTGACCTGTGAGGGCTGCTACAGTGTGGTCAGCACTTTGAGGAAGGGAAGTGCAGGAAGCGGGTTGTGGGAACCCAGAGGCTGGGAGGTCAGGAATGGCTTTTGGAGAAAGCGATGGCTGAATTGAGTCTTAAAGGATGTGTAGCAGTTCCCCAGAAGAAATAAATTGGGAGGAAGGAATAGCACATGCAAAGGCCCAGAGGCAGGAGATCATGGTGTCCTGGGAGCTGCAAGCAGATTAGCATGGATGAAGCACCAGTGCCAAGGAGGTGGGCTCCCCTCCCAGTGCTGCTATGAGGGTCAAACAAGGTGATAGATATGACCATGCCTTCATGTCCGCATTGAGGGAACAGACAATCAGCCTGCTGCCTCCTGGGCAGCATCCCAGCTTTCTGGTCCTCGGCTGCCAGTCCCCCTATAACCCAGATGGCGGAAGGGGCCGCTCTGCCCCTTGAAGAGCTGGTTGAACTCGGCCTGGACCCCATTCCAGAGCTTAGGAGTCCTCTGAGCCTTCCTTTCCTTCCCATACTCTCCCTGAATCCCCCCTTTATTTCCTCCAGGCCACAGTTTCCTTGACCCCACCCCCTGCACCCTCTTTCTCATGTGAGTTTCCATCAGAAAACAAAAAGACCAATTAAGCCATTCATTTCATGCATTTAGTACGTTTACTGAGGATCTGGACCTCTTGAGGTCACATCACATACCTCATGGCCACCTGCTGTTCCTCCAGAGCCTTCCCAAAGCCCTATGTTCCCATCGCCCTCCGTCGATCCTCCCTATACACAGCACCCACCTCCCAGAAGCTCCGTTCAGTCTCGCTCACGGACACATACCCACGCTCTCCCTGCCAGGATGGCTTTCCTTCCTATCCCACCCTCCGACCTACATGCACTCACTCTAGCCCAGCCTGGCCTGCTCCAGCCTGCTCCCCAACCACGCCCAGAAGTCGTCCTTGCCCTCCTCTTCCTTGGGCCACACGCAGTAGTCTCCTCTGCGGAGCAGCCGGGCCAGTCTGTGGTAGCGGGGGAGCTGGTGGCGGGAGACGCGCTCCAGGAAGACCAGCAGCAGCAGCGGCGGGCGGGGGGCGGCCAGCAGGAGGGAGGTGGCCAGGCGGAGCTCCAGGCGGCAGCGTGGGGTATGCAGAGCCTGGCCGCTCAGCACGCAGAGCGTGACCTGGCTGTTGGCCATGCTCTCCACCACGTTATCAGCCACGTCCTTGCCTGGCTCGAAATCCCGCTCAGGGAGGCAGAGGCGCAGCCCCCGGCGGCCCTCCAAGGCAGGCAGCAGCTCCTGCACCACCCAGGCCTGGTCTTGCCTACAGTGGGACACAAAGACGTCATAGAGGAACCTCTTGCCCTCACCCTTCGGACCCCTCAGATCCTGAAGCCAAGCCCTGAATAAGGCCTGCAGATAGAGGAGCCAGGAGTTCCTGGCTTCTTGCAGGAGGGGCCAGGAGAGCAGCAGAAGCAGCAGGGCAGAGCTGCCCAAAAAGAGTCCCAACTCTAGAGTCCTGGGGCAGTGACTCCAGAGAAAGGGGAAGAGGCGTTGCTTGGGGTGGACCCCGGCTTCTGGCTGGCACAGCTGGGCTGACGCTATGTGCACATATGTTCTGGGGGACCCCTCAAGCCAGGGCTCCACCCAGGCATTGGCACACTGGCAGGCCAAGGACGAACGCAGAACATACACGTACTGTGGCATCTGGGGACTGTGCTCCTGGAGACTGCCATCCAGCACGAGGCCTGCCTCCCAGTCTAGCACCAAGACCTGGAGACTTCCCAGGCCCTGGAAAGCAACCGCAGACAGTGTCTCCAGCCCCGTTCGGGCCACATGCAGTACCTGGAGCCTGGGCAGTTCCCCCACCAGCTCCTCCAGCTGCACGCGGCGGGGCTGCGCTCGGGACAGCAGTCTCTGCAGCGTCAGCTCCTGTAGACTGGGCAGCCCGGTGATGCAGCAGGGCCTGGGGCCGTGCCCGTCCCCCTGTACCCTCAGATACTGGAGCCTGGGGAGCTGCCAGAGGAAGACGCTGGGGGTGTCGGGGGAACAGAGGCCCTCCAAGCTACTGCCAAACAGGGAGAGTTGGCGAAGGGCAGGGAAGATCTTGGGGACCTTCTGGGTCCCCAGCTGCAGCCCCCAACCATTTAGAGTCAAGTTCTGTAAGGCTGGAAAGACAGGAGAAGCCAGCTCCCAAAGCTCCCCGCCTGGCACCGCGTGAAGCTCCAAGCTGGTCAGCCTCGTGGGCAGGGACAGCGCTGTCCCAGAAGGGCCAGAGCGGAGCGGCAGTCTCAGGTCGTGCAGACTCTCCAGGCCCCAGAAGTCCCAGGCTGGGCTCAGCACAATGTGGGTCTTCAGCAGGTTGAGGGTGGTGAGTGCAGGCAGAGGAGCCAACCAGCCCTTGCCCAGGGCCTCCAGTGGATTGTTACTCAAGTCCAGCATCTCCAGCCTCCTTAAGCCCTGGAATACCTGGCCCTCCAGCCAAACCAGCTGGTTCGTCTGAAGTAGCAGCTCCCGCAGGTGGGACAGACACGAGAAGGTGTCAGGGGCCAGGCTACGCAGCTCATTGCTGGACAGGTCCAGGGCCCGCAGTCCTGACACAGCTCCTGTCTCATTCGGGCACAGCACGGCGCTGCGTAGCTTGTTGCCTGACAGGTTCAGTCTCCGAAGCCTGGGCAGGGCAGCCAGGAAACCTGGTGGCAGGTCCATTAGGCCGCTTCCCTTAAGACTCAAGCTCTTCAGGCTCTCGCAGGAAGCCAGGGCCTCCAGAGCTATGTGCTCTATCCGCATCTGCCCCTGTCCCAGATTCAGCTCTTGCAGCTCGAAGTGGGCAACTGTCCCGGCGGGCAGCTCGGCCGTGTCCGTGTATGTCACAGACAGGGCATCCAGCCTCCGCAGCCCCAGCCCCATCAGTGCAGCTGCCTTCATCTTCGTGTGGTCCAGATTCAGAGTCCCCAGCTTGAGGCCCCGGAGGCCCCCAGGACTGGCCATCTTCAGCCACCTGTTTGAACTCAAGTCCAGTGTCTCCAGAGTCCAGGCATCACCGGAGGAGGAGCCAAGCACCAGGTCTGGGAAGATGTCGGCCAGCTGCCCCATATCCTTAAGGCAACTCAAAGTGACGGACAGCCGCCGTAGGTTGGGAGGCAACCGGACCCCCGAGTTCCCATCCAGGCAAACGCCCGAGAAAGCTAAGTACTGGAGGGAGCTCAGGTTGCCTAAGGCATCAGGGGGTAGGAAGAGGTCTTTCACGGGGAGCTGTATGAAAGACAGCCGCTGCAGCTGTCCCAGGCCCCGGAAGGCTCCGGGCAGGATCTGTGTGAGATACAGGGTCAGCCCCAGGGCCTTGAGGCCCGGGAAGCGGGAGAAGGCGTCCGCGGGCAGAACCGGAGGGGAACCACGGAGACAGAGCCCCTCCACACCCTGTGGCACAGCCTCTAAGGCCTTTGTCACGTTGGTCACCCCGGAGCACACCGCAAGGAGGGGCAGTCTGGAGTCCAAGCCGCAGAGGGAGAAATGGGAGACCAGGTGCAGCCTGGAGCCTTCGGTCACTGAGCAGTTGGAAATGGTCCAGCCCGAGATCAGAGGAGGGAACAGGAGCAGACCAGGCAGCAGCAAACGTCCGCCCATCTCAGCGCCACGTCTGCTCGACAGACAAGCAGAATCAGAACCTGACTGCTCCCCTCCCTTTCCCAGAGAGGAACCCAGACCCCTTCTCCCCTTCACACACACATACCCCGTACTCACAGCACCGGCAGGGTGCACCGCGCCCTGTACCAGGAGGGTCTGGAAGCAGGGTCTGAGGGCCGCATGCTTCCAAACTGGAGAACTGCTGGGAGGGCGGGGCCAGATTAAGAGACACTTAGAGCAGAGGATCCAAGAGTCAGGGAAGGCAGAAGTGCTCTCGTGAGAGGAAGGGCCAGGGTCTCGCTTCTCTGTTGTGAGGAAGCGAGCATTTCTGAGTACAAGATTTGGGGCCCAAAGCGCAGGATCTCACCCTGCCATGGGCCTGAGCCGAGCACTGCACCTCTCTCGGCTTCAGCTTCCTCATCTGTAAGATCAGCATACCGATTCCTACTTCATAGGATTGCTGTGAATTACATGTAAGCGTCAGAATGACGGTTCTCTCAGCAGCCCCTTTACTACTTCCTCTCCTTACTTTGGAAAGGAGGTCTTGAGTGCAAATCAGGATTTTTAAAAAGCAGATGTTTTACAGCAAAATAGTACATCAATGTGATGCCTTCATGGACATCTTGTAATGCTCCACATGGAATGTTCCAAAAAGCCCAAGATTTACCCAAGAGGAGTCTAGGGCCCCATTCCTGTCCTTCCAGACTGGGGCTAGGAAGAATGCTGTCCGTGGCCTCGACCTTGACATGCACTACCGGATGGAGCCAGGACCCCAGGGGAGAGCCGAAAGAGAAAAAGCAAGGTGCTCTTTGATGATCTCAATGCATAAACTATTCAATATCTGATCATGATTTTAAACAATAATAAGCTCACAAGAAAAGCACTTTCATTGAGGTTCTTTCTGTCTCCACCACCTTCTTCCCTCCCCAAACCCCGTGATCACCTTGTCTGTGAGTTCTTAACTGGTCATCAAATAATAATCTTTAATCAAACAAGGTATCGGTGATTTCATCGCGTAATGGTATTCAGGTAACGACACTAGAAATTCTCAATAAAAAGCAGAAACATGTGACCCACAGTTCTACCAACAACAAAAGCAATGGCTTTGGTTGCCTAAGTTAACGTCCGTTGTTATCCCAGCTTTAAACATTTTTCATGTAACTTCCATATCTTTTTTTTAAATATGTTTTTTTATTGATTTTTCACAGAGAGGAAGGGAGAGGGATAGAGAGTTAGAAACATCGATGAGAGAGAAACATCGATCAGCTGCCTCCTGCACACCCCCTACTGGGGATGTGCCCGCAACCAAGGTACATGCCCTTGACCAGAAATGAACCCGGAACCCTTCAGTCTGAAGGCCGACGCTCTATTCACTGAGCCAAACCAGTTAGCGCTAACTCCCATTTCTTACAGCTTCGTATATACTAGGCATCCTGAGAAGCACTTTAAACAATGTAAGCCCGGAAATGTTTTATTTCCCAGAATCCTTTTTAATAATAAAATAACTTTATTCTCAATTGAGAACCTACTATGTGCCAGTCATATGCTCTCTTTTCACTCTAACAACCTAGAGTGAGTGACAATCCCCCCTCACCACACACACATTCCCCAAATGGAGAACTGTGGCCCACGGAGGTTCAGCGAGTGTGTCCCCGAGGTCGTTCGTTTCTTCCTCTGTAGAAGGTGAAATGCCCCAGCTGTTACTTCCCCATTTGGGTTTCCAGGAGACAGTTGGGGTTTGACTGTTTCTTCCTTGTTATTGCCTCTGTGTTTCAGGTGTAATTCGCAGGCAGCCTGAGTAACGGATGCCCTTGTGATGTGTTAGGGCAAACATCACAAGGACAGAGAGGAGTCTGAACAAGGGCCACAGGATGTGGACATGTTTTCCCTGATGCACAGAACAAATGGGAATCCAGCCCGGGCGGCCGGGCAGAGCTCTCTGGGAGCAGCTCCTGGTTGTCCTGCAGCAGCAGCAGCAGCCGTTCTGGGGAAGTGAAAGAGGTGGCCCCAGCAGTGGCCCCGGCTTCTCCATTGTCTTTGTTGAGGCTGTGTCTGTGATGAGGAACAGAAATCAACTCAGACTCCCCCAGGTACAATCTGTTGGGAGGAATCTCCTGGAACCCTCAGTCAGCTGGGCCTGGGGAAGGACTGAGGAGTGGAGCCGTCAGAGACCTGCCAGTCGCTCCTGCCTCCCACCTCTGCTTCAGCTTTCCCCGCCGAACCGCCATCTCTGCTTCTACGTTCTCATGGCTGACGATGGCCACCCCATCCCAAGGGAACACCAGGCCAGCTTTGGGGGGAGGAGGGGTGCAGAAGATCCATTCCTCCCTGCTCTAGTCACGTGTACCCTCTTCCACCCACTCCTACCACCCACCACATCTGCTGGAAGTCCCTCGTTCCCTGCTGGCTTTGATGCTCTTTCTCCACCTCCACCAGGGAGCCACTGAGGGAGCTCAGAGGGAAGGAGAAGCCAGCATCTTCCCTCCTTTGGGGCTTCTCAGAAATCCCTTTCCATATGGTTCCCGTCTATGTCGTGACCTTGCTGGGATGCTCTGCTTGGGGACGAATGGCTTTCTCCACAGATCAGGGAGAGAAGCAAAATGTTCTCTTGCTCAGCATAGCAGCTGTTATATCCCCTGAAAGGGCTTGCAGGTTGGGCTGTTAGGAGCCATTTGGTCCTGGTTTCTCAGAGTTCCCTTTCCTTTTGGCCTGCAGATTGTATTATCTAGACTCTTTTTTTTTTTTTTAACAATGTGTACAAGGCCTATTAGATATTCGCTCTATTCCCTCGCTCATGCACAGTTATTCTGAGCTGCACAGGGTACCAAGGCCAAGGAGGCAGAGTCCCTGCCCTTGGGAGGCTCGTGGGAGGTGGGGGAAACAAACCCATGAAAAGAGGAGTGACCCGGATGTGCCTTGTTTCTCCTGCTGGCAGACCACACTTCCCTTTAATGCATATGCAGCCATATCTGAACCCTCAATCTCCAAGACTTCAGGAAATCCTCTTACCAGGTTTCCTTTACCCAAGGATCTCTGAGAATTCTTACATGTTCTTCCTATTTGTGGTTGTCACTTGTCACCTCTGTCTGCCCTACTGGATCCCTGGTGTGGACCTCGGCAAGGTCTCCCCTCCCCAGACTCCCTCTCATTCAACTCTGTCTAACAAAGCCATGTTCCCAGGGAACCCCGGGCTCCCGTCTCTCCTCTGCATTACCCCCCTGGGTGATCTCATTGGTCGCATGGCTTTTACATACCATCCGTCTGCCAATGACTTTACAAATCAATATCACCACCACTGACTTCTCCCCTAAGCTCCAGACTTATATCCAACTGCCTATTTGTTGTCTTCATGTGGAGGCCAAACCGGCAATTGAAACTTAACTGAGACCGAACCATGTCCAGCACAGCCAGGGGTGAACCTGAGGAGGGGCGGTGAAGGATGAAAGAAGACAGACAAGAGAATACAGTTGGGGCCAGGTAGGCTCACTGTTCCTGGATGAGGAAACAGTGACACAGCTGTAAGCCGAAACTTTATTTATAGTCAGATCACACAAAGCAAAACAAGGGCAAGATGTTTACAGTGTTCTTGCAAATTTCAAATCTGCTTCTTTCCTATTGTTGCCATTCTCTGCTTTGTTTTGGCAGCACTTGCTGCACCTCCCACAGCCCATATGTCTTAACTACCTAGGAACAAGGGAGGACTATAAGGTCAAGCTTAATTGTGCTGGGAGGGCTCTGCCCTCCAAGCTGGGACTTGCATGTGGCTCTGCCACTGGTCAGTCTGAGGCTTGACCCCATAGCCACTCCCTACATGAGACCAAACAAACTCCTAACTTTGTGCCCTGCTATCCCACCCCAACCCACTCCCCTCCAGCTTCTCAACATCAGGGGACATTGCAGTACATAGCATGACACTTATCCACTTTGTCGATTCTTCTCTTTGTGTGTGTGTGTGTGTGTGTGTGTGTGTGTGTGTGTGTGTGTGTGTGTTGGGAGGTTGTTTGTTTTGTAGATATGTGTGTGTCTGTCTTTTTATTAATCATGCGTTAATGTGCTACAAAACTAATGGCTTTGCAGATGGGTCACCACTTTAGGAACTTTCTGCCTGACACAAACAATTGTCCTAGGCCATTTAGAGAGTCTGCTCTCCCATCCTCTTTTCTTAGAAGATAATATGACTTTGAACCTAAAACAAAACAAAACACTTTGCAGTTTTTCCAACAATGCAAAAAAAAAAAAGACCATAGCATTGTTAAGAAGAAGAGGAAAAAGAAGGACGAGGAAGAAAAGAAGAAAACAAAATAGAATTTAAGACTAAATCATTAAGTTAAAGTAAGCACCGAGGTGAAATAATACAAGCTATATTACCAGAGCTACAAAGCACAAAAACAATGGAAGTTTTCATTGATTCACCCAACAAATGATAGCCTACTATGCGCAGGCATTGTTCAAGCATGTCAAACTCGTGGCCGACGGGCCACACGCCAACCACAAGTTTGACATGCTTGCAAGTGGTAGGGAATGAGCAGTAAACAAAACATAAAATCTCTGAGCTGTGGAACTTAATTTTAATGGGAGAGAAAAGACAACTGTAAGTAAATATGTAATATGTCTTATGATAATGAGTTCTATGGAGAAAATAAAGTAATGAATGAGATTGCAAAGAACAAGGAGTGGGGATGGAGTTGCAATTTTAAGTAGGGTGGCCCCGGAAGACCTTTCCAATGAGGTGACATGTGAGCAGAAGCCTGGAGAACATGAGAGAGAACCTGCAGCTCTGGAGAAGAGCACTCAAGGCAGAAGGAAGAACAAGCGTAAAGGCCCCGAGGAGAGAGTGTGCCTGGCCTGTGAGAAGAAAAGCCAGGGTGGCTGTACTGGAACGAGCCATGTGACCCAGAACCTGGCTTAATCTAAACGTGGGTGCAGAGACTCCTTCTTTTCTGATTTTCCCATCCCTCTTCGTGCCAGGAACCCTTTTCCCCAGGTTTACTGAGCCATCGGACAGGAACTGCTTGACTCCTCACTCCATCCCACGCCCACAAATATAACCACTTCACCATTCATCCTTACGGCCTTTCTCTCACCTCACAAGTGGTGTTTCCCTTTCTGTTCAAGGTTCATCTCAAGAGCATCTTTGCTCTTGGTCCCCACACCCATCTCCCCTGAGAGCTGTCCCTCCCTAGTACTGGGTACTAATTCCTCTTTCCTACATCCTCAAACTCTCCTCTACTAAAATAGTCCTCCTTTCTGTAAATATCCTCAAAGTCCTACCAACTGAAACATAGCCAACTCTTTTGTTCTAGATTTGGCTATTTCTTCCTCTTTCATTCCCTTCTCCTCCAAGTCACTCAAAAGTGTCGTCTTACAGTCTGGCTCCCTATCCTCATTTGTAATCCTCAACCCAGAATTTGACTCCTGCCCTTCTGGGACCACAGGAACTCTTAAAATGCCAAATCCAACAGGCACCTTTTGTCCTCCTCTTACTGGATTTCCCTGCTGCATTGAACTACCTAGCCCCACTTCTGTCCTGCATCTCTTTGCCCAAGTCCTGCATCTCTGCACCCATGCACTCTGCACCCGAAGCAGGGCCTTTGACTTGTCCTCCGTGAGCTCCTTTCCCTCTTTCTTCCTTTAACACCCTCCAGAGCTCCTTGGAACAGAGCTGACCCTGCTAGGCATGGACTCCTCACACGTGGGCTTTCCATGTGGAAAAAGTCAACATAGCTCATATAAGCTTTTGTATTTTGGAACTTTTCATTGTGGCAGTTTAACCTGTACTCTAAGTACTATAGCATTGACTCAAGCACAGGTAATTCATAGGCCTTTTAAAATTTACCCTACGCTCAATCCTGACCCTCCTGTTACACTCTCTTAACCCCTGTACTTCTCCTTCAAAGCACATATCATAACTTGTGATTAAACAAGTATTTGTGTAATGCAGTGGTCATTATTGATTGCCTACCCAACAACTCTCCTCCTTTCTTTTTATTGCACAGGATCCTGATTTTACTCAGGTATTCATGCATTTTATTCAGATTCATCCTGTAAAAAAGATAAGCTTAGGCCGATCAGTCTCTCTCTTATATTTTGAACTAAGAAACAAGTAATTAGCCATTATCAAAAGGACCTAAGATGGAAATTTCACAATGTAGAAAGAGCCAGTGAGACTACAATGGGCCATGTTGGAAACCAACATGTTTGGGAAACCAAAACTAAGAATGAGAGAGACTAGCAGGTAGGAAAGAAGTGGATACGTGAGATGCAGGCAGATTGCACCTGTGCATTGCAGCTGATGGAGACATGAGGCCATCTGGATCTAGAACAGTGATGGCGAACCTTTTGAGCTTGGTGTGTCAGCATTTTGAAAAACCCTAACTTAACTCTGGTGCCGTGTCACATATAGAAATTTTTTGATATTTGCAACCATAGTATAAAAAAGATTTATATTTTTGATATTTATTTTATATATTTAAATGCTATTTAACAAAAAAAGTCAACCAAAAAAATGAGTTCGTGTGTCACCTCTGACACGCGTGTCATAGGTTTGCCATTACTGATCTAGAATTATCTCCTAGTTCTAGTCTCTGTTCTTGGCTTTCCATAGACAGCATCTCCAATTATCCCTAAAATGCATCCTCTTTCCCTGGGCTAGCAAGAGGTGTTTCCCATAATCAGGCAGGCCTGGATAAAACAGTAACTTTTGGCAAACCTATTCCACAAATATTTTTTGAACACCTATGTCCTAGGCCCCATTGTATACCCTGGGGCACTAGGGGAAAAACAAGATGGGCAGCCTAAAGCATCTCTCTGAGAAGCAGAAATCAAGTATATCATTCCTCTACCTGTTTATTATTATTCAACTAGAGGCCTGGTGCACAAAATTCATGCACCAGAGGATCCCTCAGCCTGGCCTGCACCCACTCGCAATCCAGGACCCCTCGGGATGTCTAACTTCTGGTTTAGGCCCAATCCTGCAGGCAGTCGGACATCCCTCTTGCAATCTGGGACCACTGGCTCCTAACTGCTCGCCTGCCTGCCTGATCACCCCTAACTGCCTCTGCCTTGACCCCCGCCACTGTGGCTTCATCCGGAAGGATGTCCGGAATGATGTCCAGAAAGTAATTCGACTGTTCGGTCTAATTAGCATATTAGGCTTTTATTATTATAGATAGCTTCTAATTGATCTCAGAATAAAGCCCTAAGTCTTTATAATGGTTTCCAAGGCAACCCTGCATGATCCCGCCTCTGTCTACTTTTTGAACCTCAATTATCAGTTATTTTGCCTCTCACTTCATTTCAACTGTATCAGATCACTTTCAGGCCTCAAAATGTGCTGCCCCAATGAGCCTGTGCACACACTCCATCTGCTAGAATGTGGTGAGCAAAGGTCAGAGGCAAAGGCGATGATAATAACACTACCACTCGGTGAGCCTTATATACTATACTCTCTATATATTATTCCTAATTTGTCACAAGGTGTATTCTGTTTTCCCCATTTTATAGATGAGAAAACCAAAGCTTCAGATCACATAGTGAGGACACAGCGGAGCCAAAATTTGAATCCAAGCCTATTTGACTCTAAAGAACAGGCTGTCTCTTTGCCATTCTTTAGAACTCATCTTTTGGGGCAGGCAGAATTGGGTTTGAATTCAGGGCTCCAACGCTTCCTCAGTAGGTGGCCTTGAGCAAATCACTCCATCTCCTGAGCCTTGTTTTCCTAATCTGTAAAATGAGGTCGGCAATAGGCCCTACCTCAGAAAGTTATTGTGAGATTAAAATGAAAGAATGTGTATAAGCGCTCATCACAGTGCCTGGCCCAGTGCATCCAGTAAAGGAAGATGTTGTTGCTTCATTATCATCAGCATTACCTTCTTCAAATAGCAATCTCTCCTTCGCCCTGTCCAGGTCAGAGCTCTGCATCTTGTCACAGACACAACCTAAGAGCTGCTTCTCTGCAGGGTCCCCTGGGGCCAGGCCTGCATGAGTCTGTGGAAGGAAACTCGGGCCGGCAGGGGAATGGCCTGTAATTGATCCCAGTTAGGGCTGGGCAGGCCCCGTCCTCCTTGGCGGGGCCTCAGGAAGCAGGCCGCTGGCTGATTTATGTCCCGGCTGCACCGAGGATGACCTGGTGCCCTCGCTACGTGTTCCCGCAGCAGACAAGGCCATAAAACGGAATTGGTGCGGCACGTTTGTCCCTATCAGGGCCCACATGTACACTGTTGCACCCAGCTTAGGTCAGTCCCCGGCAGGATCCTTCCTGGGAAAGGTTGGTGTGTGTGACCACCCAGTGCGATCAGGCCACGGGGGGTTCCGGGACAGTGTCCGGAAGGGAAATCACAATAGCATGTGTGCTCTCGGGCTTCAGTGATCATCTGCTGCTAATGACCCCAACCCACATCCTGAACC